GAAACTCAATTCGGAGCTCATTTGCTCAGTGTGATACCCATTTCGCTCGTTAAACAATTAACTCATGTTTCGCGTCAAAAACCCAATCGCGACTTGATGAAATTAAACCAAACTTTCCAGATCACTCCTATAATTCATTGTCAAAATTCCGGAAGTCTCGAAATCAAATTTCGATCTCTAGAACTAAAAATGGACCTTTGGATCATTACATGCTTATGCTCAAAACGGCAAAAATCTTCCAAAAACTCCTCCAAAACTTATGCGAGCCTCATGGGACCCCGACCAAACATGCCAAAACACCCCATAACATCATTCAAACTTGTTCAAACCTTTGGAACGCTCAAAACAACATCAAAACATCGAATCACCCTCGGATTCAAGCCTAAGAATTCTAAAACTTTCGAATTACTCTTTCGATCAAAAACCCGACCAAACGACGTCCGAATGACCTGAAATTTTGCACACACATCACAAATGACGTAACGAAGCTATAGCAACTCTCGGAATACCATCCCGACTCTCGGATCAAAATTTACCTATCAACCGGAATTCGCCAAATTACTAACTTCGCCAATTCAAGCCTAATTCTACACCGGACTTCCAAAACCAATTCCGATCACGCTCCTAAGTCACAAATCACCTAGCGAAGCTAACCAAATCATAAAAACTCCGATCCGAGCTCATATACAAATAAGTCAACTCTTGGTCAAACCTTTCAAATTCAAACCTTTCAACTGAAACTGTTCTTTCAAATTCATTCCAAATTTTTCTGAAAACCAAAATCAACGATCTACATTAGTCATAATACATAACACGAGGCAAGTCATACCCGAAAACTGGCGATCAAAGTGCAAAAGCTCAAAACGACCGGTGGGGTCGTTACATTAACGAATTAAGAAAATGAGGTTTAGATCTTATTAGAAATTCATTTACCATTTTGATGTGGTTTAAGCAATTCAACTGTCCATAAGATTATAAAAATTCAAAATATGGCATGCTTTTGGGTCCTAGACTACCCGGACAATAGCATATTAGTAGCTACGCACGGGCTCTCGTCACCTCGTGCTTACGTAGCCCCCACAAATAGGAGCACATAACCAATTAACTCACCTATGGGGACAATTCCCTCTTACAAGGTTAGAAAGGAGACTCACCTCGCTCCGAAGACTCATAACCGGCATTCTACATTCCTCCGAAGACTCGCACCATCGCACAACGCGCCAAAACTAGCCAATGATTATACAAATCCATTAATATATGCTCAATTAAACTTTACAACCCCATTTGTAACAATTCCTAACCCCAAACGAAAAGTTGCCCAAAACGCCCTCGGGCCCACGTGCCCGTAATTCGAAATTTTTCGAAGATATACTCTACCCATAGCTTCACTAGCTCAAATATATAATTTACTCCTAATTCCATGCTCAAATTCGTGGTAAAAATCCAATTTATCAAGTATCTAGGTTTTCTTTCAAAAATCCCAATTTTCCCACAATTTTTATGTCTAATTCCATGATATAATCTTGTATTTAACTTGGAAATGAGTGGGAATAACTTACCTTAACTTAGGTGACGAAATCCCTCTTTGAAGCTCTCCAAAAATCGCCCCAAGCCATGATAATTATGAGAGAAATGGCCAAATCCCGATTTAAAATAACCTTCTGCCTCCAGGGATTTCTGCACATGCGGTCCCTTGACTGCTTCTGCGGTCGCGGACCAATCACCGCTTCTGCGGTCCGCCCAAGGCTGCCCTTTTTTCCGCTTTTGCGATATGCCCTCCGCAGATGCGGTCCCGCTTCTACGGAAATTTGACCGCATCTGCGGTCCACTCTGAGCCGACCCAATTCCGCTTCTGCGACCACTTCTCCGCAGATGCGGTCTCGCTTCTGCGGAACCTTGACCGCATCTGCGGTCCTCCAGCTCTTGACCAAAAATTCGCAACTGCGCCTTCTTAGCCGCTTCTGCGGCGCCGCACCTGCGGCCCCCTTTCCGCAGGTGCGGTTATGACAGCAACCAGCAGTCCTCAACCTTCCAAAAATCTTATTTTTCAATCCTTTAACCACCCGGAATCCATCCGAGGCCCCCGGGACCTCAACCAAACCTACCAACCAATCCCAAAACACATTACGGACTCGCTCAAACAACGCTAAAATCATGAATCGACCTCCAATCCAAACTTAATGAACTTCAAAAATTTACACTTCTATTTTCAATGTTTAAACCTATCAAATCACGTCCGATTGACCTCAAATTTTGCCTACAAGCCATATTTGACAATACGGACCTACTACAACTTCCGGAATCGGATTCCGACCCCGATATCAAAAGTCCACTTCCGGTCAAACTTCTCAAAAACCTTCAAATTTCTATCTTTAGCCAAATGGCTCCAAAATAACCTACGAACCTTCAAATTCACTTCCGATTGCGCTCCCAACTCCAGAATCACCATACGGAGCTATTCTCAGACTTAGAATCCCAAATGGACATCGATAACACTGAAACGCACTTCAAGCCAAACTTAAAAAATTCCTTCAAAAATGCTAACTCCCACAATAGGCGCCAAAACGCTCCCGGGTAATCCAAAACCCGCACCGGGCATATGCCCAAGTCCGAAATTATCATACGAACCTGCTGGAACCTTCAGATCCCGATTCCGAGGTCGTTTACTCAAAATTCCAATCCTAGTTCATTCTTTTAACTTTAAGCTTCTGAAATGAGAATTCGCTTTCCAAATCAACTCTGAACTTCCCGGAACTTAATTCCGACCACGCATACAAGTCATAACACCTGAAATGAAGCTGCTCATGGACTCAGGTTGCTGAACGGAGCGCTAGAACTCAAAACGACCGGTCGGGTCGTTACAGTTTCAATTGGCATGCTAGTATTTCAACTTTACAAATCCAAATGTACTACTATAGTATCATGAATTAAAAATTTTAATTGTCCAATGTCATCACTAAATTCCCATAGATGAGATTGTCTTTGGCCACTATTTCCAATTGCTCGCCAGAACTTTCCTACATATGCAAAATAAAATTATTAATCAGATAGAAATTAAAAGTGTACAAGTGCAGAATTAGCGCAACATAGCAGAGTTCCTCAAAAACTTAAATACCAAACAATATCCTAAGAAAAGATATCTGCTAAAAATATGAGGGTTAAGCCTAACCCAAACTAGCAGGGATATACTATACTACTAAATATTCATCAGCATTGCCGCCAGTTATATTTTTGCTTTATCATCAGCATTCCTTTGTATTTTTGCATTGTCAATTAGTTAATCATCTATATTCAATTCAACTTACTTTTTATCTGATTAGTTTTCTTTTTTGTTAAATAACTTTGATCACTTATCTTAAAATAAAAATTTAGTCTTTCTTTTTTGTTAAATAACTTTGATCACTTATCTTAAAATAAAAATTTAGTCATTCTTACATTACTAGTTGGCTTACATCTTCATTTCTCCCAATTCTACTTAGATCATTTTCCAATCTCAATGTTAGCTGATAATAATACTAGTACATGTTATTTGACAAGTTTTCCCTAGCTAACAATCTTTTTAGAATTTTAGACTATATTTTAGGCACTTGTCCATATAATTCTAAATGAATGGTGTCTAATCCTTTACTCAAGTAGAAAGAAGAGTCAAATTTGCTCCTACACTATCTTGTGCGGACTTTCCAAAATGATGTCGCTCCCGTGTCGGATCCTCAAAAAATGCACTACTTTTGGCGGATCCGACATGCACCCGATGATATTTTCGGAGAGTCCGAGCAACATAGCTCCTACACTATCCAAAATTGACCTAAAATAAGTGTAGCGTGCCACGATAACCAAAACAATAAAAAAAATACCTTTTCAAGAATTAGATCATGATTGATCCCGAGGAATATAGAAGATGTTGGCCTCATAACCCATACACTATTCGCTAACTAACCCTCCCACAAGATTATCAAGTTTCACATGTGAGTTAGTATGAAGGATGAACTCATTACTTTCAATTAATAATGGCAGCACATTCATAAGATGCCAAAATTGTCCAATATGTATGAGATATACATATACAAAAGAGCCAAAACAAATTATAATAATAGAGAAAAATTTATAAATGTTACGATACGTTGGAATGATTCATGTAACAAAACATATGGACAACAAGAAGTGAACATAGAAAAGGAAAAGCTTTTAGGATTTATTAGTTGAGATTACCTCTACGAAAGTGCATGAACAATTGGAGCCTTGAACCTAGAGTCGCCCTGTATCCCTTGAGGAGTTAAAACTGCTAGAAGTCCGAAGATTGCCACTATTTAACAGGAAAACAAATGCAACAAATGATTAAGTTCAAAGATCAGCTCAAAGTGGATAATTATCCATCTATACATTTATCTAGCCTCTTGATAATTTTACTCCAAGATCATTAACAAGATATACTGACCAAGCAAATGGTTGGACACCAACTGCTAAAAATTAAACTAACCACCCTATGGAAGCCATCTGAAGAAATTCATCTTATAGACTTGGGATGCAATTTTTTCCTTATTAAATTTCGTTATGAGGAAAATTTGTGTAAAGCTTTACATGAAGAGCCCTGGTTCATACTAAACCACTTCCTTTCTGTTCGCCGTTGGGAGCCTAAGTTTATCGCGTCCGCAGCTCAACTAACGTATGCTGCTCTATGGATACGACTACCAGAACTTCCGACGGAATTTTATGATTTTCAATTACTGTATAGGACCTAACCAAATCTTTAACCAAATATTTCTAACCCAACATATTTTATAAACCGAGTTAAACAAGCATAGGACCTAACCAAATCTTCAAATATTTTAGCATATATACTCCCCAAAACACACAAAAAGAACACTGTAATAACAACTCAAAGCATGCTTTCAACATATCCATAAAATATCATAGTCATTTCAAGCCCAAAATTCATTTGAATCATGCACATTATTGGCTTTAACCAAAGCTAAATAAATCTCAATACCAGGAAACTAAGAAAGAAGAGCTATAAAAATTTCTATCAAAAGAACAGATCAGGCGGTAAGAAGTTGCTAATCTTAATTTTTCTTCTTTTTTTAAACATCAAGGATATTAGCAACTAAGCAACAATCCTCCACATACATACGTACATCTATATCGTGACCTTTGTCCCTTGCAACTGATAAATAGTTGTTTGATAATAATCCATTGGAAATGAATAGTTTTTTTGGTATTGAATAACAACACACTGGAAGTGGATATTAACAGTTACACCTTACCTCAATAGACGAGTGTATCAGATGAATACTCCTCAATCAACAATAAATTACTTCCACCACCTGGAGAATAGGCACAAAAATGCAGACATCGTCAACATTCAAATACGCATAAAAATAATATGAACTCATCATCTAACAAAACTGTCATATTCGCAGGTTTCTAAAGCAAAAAATGCAAGATAAAAAATAAGATCTTGTAAGTGTTAGTTGTATGATAAAAGAGAGTATTCACCTTTCAAGAATAATAACATCCATCACGAATTAATAGTGCTGAACTTCAAAATTAGCAGTCGTCTTACCCAAGTTTTTGGATGCGGCTGTAATCCCTAAACAATGAAATCCCCAATTATTTCAACCTGCTCTAAAGAGCAAATACTGTATGAAAGAAGAAGAGCATTCACCTTTCAAGAATAATAACCTCCCATCACAAAATAATAGAGCTTAATTTCAAAATTAGCAGTCATCTTATCCAAGTTTTGATAAACGATAGTAAACCCTAAACAATGAGATTCCCAATTGAATCGGATGGCACATAACCGAGACAAAGTTTAGCATCTCCATACATGATTTCCACATAACCCAATAGATTTAATTAAACTCACTCTAATTTGCTTCAATAAATCTGCTAAAAGATACGAGAAGAGCCCTCAACTTTGATTATAGAATTTTAAGGAAGAAAAAAAGGAGATTTTCTTGTGAACATGAGAGACAGGTTTTAGCGAATATTTTAGGGCATAATTTTTCAGTAAAAATTTTAGGGGAAAATAATAGCGGAAATTTTTAGAAAATATTTAGGGCACGCTTATATAGAGTTGCTTCTACAAATATTAACAATCACGCTCCCAAAGCGTTGCATTACATATGGATAATCGTTGCTATTTATTTTATAATTTGGCAATGCTTGAAAGACGTAGTCTATACTACCAAAGGGAACGCTTTATAAGTGGTGCCTAAAAGTCATAGCCAAAAACTCTTAGAAAAGACCACCCCCTAGAAAGCGTTGCCACATACATATTTGGCCACGCTTTTTAGGCGTTGTCTAAAATTGGTGTGATCTTAGACCAAATTTGTTGTAGTGATATTTGCACACATTCAGTAGTTAAATCCTTAGAGAAAAACTTTTAGGATATACTTCAACGTATTCCTCCTTTTTTTTTGATAAGTACTTTATTGTATTCCTCCTGATAAAAAATTATAAAGTATCGATTCCCTCTTGAGAGTTTCACCGATACAAGGATAATCTGCAGAGGATTTGGCAACAATTTCATACATATAAAAATTACAACAAGTCAATCCGCTAAAAAACATGTGTTTATTCCAAGGATTGAACTTTCTCCCCTGATAATGAAGAATATCATGTCAAATTTCTTTGGAATTTTTTTTTCTGTATGCTTATATTTTATAACAACGACAAACAAATCACAGGGTCAAACAAATGGGAGAATTCCTAATGTTAGATTGTATCTGCCATAACATGCATGTTTGCTCACACGGCCAATTTTATGTTGTACTTTTAAGAGAGATATCAATATAAACAATAAAGTCATGGTCATGACAAAACAACAAAGAACATACACTAGGAATATTGTTTACAAGGAAATATTAGGTGAGATGTGTTTCATTACATATTTGTACCTCATAAAATTAAAATAAGAAAAAATCACATATGTATCTAATTTAACTTTAATTGTTCATCTTTATAGGTTCATACGATATCATTAATTTGACCTCTACTAAGTAGCCCTATATATGATCGCCATTGATCATTCACAAAAACTTATACTTTATCATTTCATGATAATTATTTATTCAAAATTTTGTTTAAGTAGATGTTATTTTACAAAACTATATACTATATAGCTTGATACACACGTGCAATGCACGTGCCGAGAAACTAGTCTTCATAATAAGTGAAATTAATAAAAAGGAAAAATAAGACTGTTAATGCTACTATAAGAAGTAAAATTATATAAATAATTAATTTTTATACTGTCCATATATAACAAGAGGGGAAACTAGTAGCAAATACGGAAAGTAACAAAAGGTCAAAAACATTGAATTTGAGTGAGTGCATACTAATTGTAACGACCCAACCGGTTATTTCGTGTATTTGAGTTATGTTTCTCCTTTTGAAGTTTCTCGTGTCTGTATCTGTGGATATGTGACTTGCGAAAATTGTTGGTTTGGTTCCGGAGAGGTTTTAGATTGATTTGGAATGCTTGGTTCTTAGTTTGGAAGCTTAAGTTGGAAATGTTGACCGAGGTTTTGATGGTTCCAATAGGTTCGTATGGTGACTTTGGACTTAGGCGTATGCTCGAAATTTTATTCGGAGGTTCCTAGGTTGAATTGGCTCATTATGCCGAATGTTGGTGATTTGAAGGTTTAGAAATTTCCTAAGTTTGACAATGGTTTGACTTTCTGGTTATCGGGTTTGGATTTTGGTTACGGGACTTGGAATTGGTCCGTTTTGCCATTTGGAACTTGTTCCAAATGGTGTCATTTCGAGTTGGTTTGGTAGGAATCAGACATTTGGTTGTGATTTTAACGGTTATTGAATTTCATTGTGAATTCTATATGTTTTGGTATCTGAATCGTGGTTCCGGATGTTATTCTAGTGTATTCAGGTCACGAGCGAGTTCGTATGATATTTTTAGACTTGTGGATGTTTGGTGAGGAGCCCCGGGGGCTCGAGTGAATTTCAGACGTGTTTCGAAGTGATTCAGACTGTTTTTGCTGGTGCTTGGCTGGTGCTGCAGGTCTCGCAAATGCGAGCACCCATTCACATTTGCGATTACCTCATTTGCGAGAGATTCATCGCAATTGTGAAAGAGGCCTTAGGGTGGCAGGCTCGCAAATGCAAAGCCAACCTCCCATTTGCAATGGGGAGATGGGTTGCGACATGCTGCTTTTGCGATACCCATCTCGCATTTGCGATGCCTACAGGGTTTGCATTTGCAGACATTTTTGTCGCATTTGCGACTTCTGCGGCTCTTGGCAGGGTACGCTTTTGTGAGCCAAGGGTCGCATTTGTGAACTTAAGGTCGCAAATCCGACTTCTGCAGCTGGGCATATAATTGAATTTGAGACTTAGTATCATTTTATCACAGTTTGAGCCCTACACTCAATGGGAGATGATTTTCATACAAAACTATTGGGTAAGTAATCTTGACTCTCTTTTGGTATTATAACATGATTATTTGTGAATTTTAACATCGAATCCATGAGATTTGAAGATAAATTTAGAGAATTTTTTACTATGTTTTGAAAAATAAAAAATTCGGATGGAGAGTCGATTTGGACTCGGATTTGAAAATCAAACACATATTTGGACTCGTAGGGTTATGGAGAATTATGCAAAGATCTTAACTTTATTAGTCGAAATTGATTTCCCTGGCATTGTTGATATTATTAAGTCATTTTTTGCTAGATTTGAGTCGGGCAAAGGTGAATTTTAAAGGAAAAGCTATTTTTGAGTGTTGATTTGGGCAATTTGAGGTAAGTATCTTGCCTAACTCTGTGTGGGGAAATTATCCCTTAGGATTTGGATTAATTGCTTATTTGTATTATACGTAAATGACGTGTACATGAGGTGACGAGTGTGTACACGGACGTATGCGTATCTTATGATCGGTTTTGACCCGAGGTTGCTGTTATTGCTTTGTTTTGATTGGGAGATCTCTGTACTACGTGTTTTCACTTAGGTTATTTACTTCAGTTAATATTCCATGCTAGAGATCATGTTTTAGAATTATTCCTTAACTAGCCAAGTTGGACATTTATGAGATTTTTGCTGATGTGGGTTAGTTGAATTCATGCTCATATGTTGAACACCCATCCGTGTTTCCTTTATTAGTTTGTCCTTATGCACTGCGTTGGCAGATTGTGAGTTTATATCTTGATGACAATTGTTAGTATATTGTTGTAATGACCCAGCTAGTCATTTTGAGAGTATTAGCCTCGATCCCGTATTTACTGCTTTCCCCGTATCTTTTTCTGCTCATGTGACTTGCCGGGAGGCTTTGTTTTTGGTTTTGGAGTGATTTGGACACTTAGTCCCTAAAACTGAAGCTTAAGTTCTAGGATTTTGACCGTAGTTAGAACTGTGTGAAGACGACTCCGGAATGTAGTTTCGTCGGTTACGTTAGCTCCTGTTAATTTTTATGAGTCCACCAAATAGTAGAGTACCTGGTCCTCTATGAGATTCTGCTGAGAATGCTAATAAAACTGTAAGTAAATAAGGCAGAGGATTTTTACGTGGAAAAATCCCACACAAGGGGATAAAAAAATCACGACCTACACCTGTAGGCTTTCAACTTCACTAACTTGTAAAAACCTATTACAAGTCACTTTGTAATGACTCCATTACAAAGAATTTACTCAACTAACTTGTGGTACTCTTACCACAAGCCACTTTGCGACTCCCTAGTTATAAAGACTTTTACTAACTTGTGATGCTCTCACCACAAGCCACTTTGTCACTCTACAGTTACAAATGCTTTTGCTTATGACTAAACCGAGTCACAACATAAACTTAAAAGAGTTTACGGATTTTACAAGAGGATTTCCTAATCAACGCTTCTAGCTAAGCAATTTAGGAGATACAATAAGTACAATCACAAAGTTACAACTCAACTAAGGACAACAACATGCTAACTTTAGGAACTGGTCCGTAGTTGCGTTCAACTTTGTTCTTCAAGCTCGTGAGGATTGATTTCTCTGTTTTTCGTAAGGCTTGAATGAGAAACTGAAACATTAAAGTAATGTTTCAATATAAACTCATGTTGGTAAACCCTGATCACTCACTTGAAATGATGTAAGTACTTTAGTTGGTCAGGGAATGAGTGGGCGCTGGAAACAGTGCAGTACGACAGAAACAGTGCAGGCAGTCACTTCTTTTCCAGCTGTGTCCAATTGACTTTGTACTGCTATGAGAGCCACAAGGGTATCAGTTCCTTGTTTAGTTTCCTAGCTCCTGAAGCTGTAGCAGTTCACATTTAGCTGGAATCCGTTAAATGCAGTGTAGTCCAAGTGAGTCAGGTTTCCCATGTGGTCCTTGACATTAAGTTTGTTAGATCATCAAAACATAAGGCAAAGACATTGAAAACCTATCAATTTCCCCCTTTTTGATGATGACAAACTTAACAATAATAACGTGGATTTAAAGCTAAGAGAACCAGATTAAGTAACGGGAGAGTAACAGGAGAGCACAAATTCCCCTTGACTTTATGTTCCCCCTAACTTACACATCCCCCTGACTGTTCCCTTTGACTTACACATCCCCCTGAATATTATTTTCCCCCTTTTGGCATCATTAAAAAGACACAAACAGAAGAACAACACAAAGAAGTCCAGCCAAGCTAACTCATGCCACATATGTGCACACAAACATGATAGAGAATAGAAACATAGAAGTAAAGCACTGATATAATAAAAGAGGATAGAATTTATATTGATAAACTTTTAATATGCCTGTGCTTAAAAAGCAACAGGCAACATTGGACTGTTAAAACATGAGCAGTAATGTTTCATCCCAACCACATGAAAAAGAAGAAAACAAAACACCTGCCAAAATAAAAAAAACCGAAGAACATTTCCA